CACAACATATATGCTTGGGTCCCTTTCTGTCTGCCTTTGATTTGGGTCATAGCCAAGTTTCTCCCTTCTACTAACTTGAGAAAATAACAGGCAAGGAAAAATTGAAAAATAATTCTCTGTTGTGGACCGCCGAACGACTGGCACGACGCGACCATCCTCCGTGATCAGGCTTCCGAGGACATGCAACACCTACTCACTGACTGCCCCTTCTAGTGGCAGATTTGGCACAAAATCCTCTCCAGAGCACGGGTGTTCACGGACTGATGGGCGTACTCTTTCTCAGAAGTTCCTGCAGAACTTTGCCGAGATCTTTCCTCCATCCTCCTCACTGCCTGGTGGATCCACAAACACCACAACAGCTATGTCTTCAACTCGCTGCAGCCCTCTGCTTCACCCCCGATACAGTCTATCCAGGAAGATGCGCGCCTCTGGGGTAGGGCAAGAGCCAAAGGAATGAATATGCTTCCGAGAGTTAGGCCTTTGTTTTCCTTCGGGCTGAGCATCCCGTGTTCTGCTCTAGCGTCCAGCTTGTGTACGTGTCCCGTGATGGTACCTTATACCTCTTCCCACTCCTTCTATCAATGCAATGATAGCTAGCTTATGCGTATTCAAGAAGAAAAAAACACAAGAGAAGATACAGGCTGGGATTGTTGTAAATGTGCTGAATCCTTATTAGTAACGGATGAAAACAGGAATACAAACAGGAAACTCATGCAGAGGACGATGGCACCCTAGCTAGAACTTGATCAAGCGCGCTACACTAGCTAAACTTGATCAAGCGTTCGGCATTTCAAAAGCTGAAGGCATAGGCTTCACATGCTTAGTATTATACATAAGAAAACTGTCATGAGGATGTGCATGTGCATTCCCAAGAATTTCGAAAATTCCACAGATAATGAGAATGCTGAATTGATAATATACCAGTGGAGGATTACCTTGCAGGACAACCACAGTGGCCGATGACAAAAATGTAAATGGTTGCCTAGATCATATATCTTGACACTTAATAGCTCAACTGTGTGATTACCTATTGAATCAACGGAGCACCACCTCAGTCTCTCAAGCATTACCGTGGATCAATCAACAACAATATATGAAGAAACTGGATTTTGCAGAGGACAAGAAGATATAATTATTTTGTCATCTCATAAGCTAACAAATATCATTAAAAAATATTGATTTAAGAAGCACATTCGTACATACATGAAAACAGGAGTTAAGAAGTCAACAAACTCTGGGAGCTACTCCCTCCGACCCATAATATAAAAGCGTTTTTGACACTAATGTAGGAGTCAAAAACACGCTTATATTATCGGACGGAGGGAGTATTAAATATGCCGATAGACTCAGCGATCTGTTTTCGGGGCAGTAAATATCTATATAACTAGTAATACATGTAGTTCAGTATCACATTTGGTATAATAAGTTTTGGCACAAAAGTCAGCAGTACAAGCTTGATATAATTTTAGAAAGCTGAAAAATAGATACCATCTAGTGAAAGCCAACTTGCATCTGTTAATGCCTAACTCTGGTTTGCATAAAGCATAGCCTGTAATGTTGTGACGCCTGGGATCAATCTAGGCAGATTTGATACCATGCTAAGCAGAGGTAAAAATTCTAACCATTTGCTAGCATAAATCATGATATAAGAACATACAGTTAGACACATGTAAGCCCTGATTTTTGCAAACCAGAGGAGGCTTGGTTTTAGCCAACCATAGTATTTGGACTAGATGGTAGGCCGTATACAGAAAATATACAACTCTATTGTTCAGTTTTGAAATCAGCTGTCCTTAGAACTGAACGTATCAGCCAATAGGCCACTCAGACATACAGGAGAGCAAATGGAAAAAAAACTGATCCAAACTAGCAAAGCATGAATGTCTTTCAAAACATTTAATCTCTTCAAACAAAGATGATGCAGAAAGAACTAAGATATTGAGCTAAGAAGAAATGGAACAAGCAACCAACAAACTGGGTCAAAACTGCATCCTCAGATTGATCAACATATTGTGGCCATCAACAAGTCCAAAATAGTTCACGACAACAGAAAAGGTCCAGAATTGCCATTCAAATGAAATTTTATGATGACATGGACATACCAGTACTAGTGAATCTAATTACTGGATCAAGCGTTAGCAGCGATAGCATGCGAGATACATAATAAACCAGAGACCAACATCCAGTTAAGCCAGGATAGAGAAATTAATGCATTGCAGAATGGCCTATTTCTGCACTTTCTTAGCTCCAATACGTGTGCTAAATGATAAGATATCAACAATCAGGAACCAATCATCAGTTCAATCAGATTCTGCATCTAACAGGGCAGAAAAACAACATCTAGTTAAGCAAAGTACACCGAAATAGGAATTACCAGCTTACAATGGCGAATAAAAACTTTGTCGCACGGTCACAGTTCACCGATTTTCATAGCTCGTTCTTGGGTGATGCAAATCTGAATCTTGTCGGCACTTCCCCTCGGCAGGCGGCAGCGTAGTCTTCAGCAAGGTGTGGTGCAGCTTCCATGTGAGGGCATATGTACTTCTCCACAAATACCTTCTCAGTCTAAAGCAGTGCTTTATAGTAGCTATGGCTGTGCGCTAGCAACCCATTTTCCTTCTGAAATTTCACAACATAGTAGCAGGGTCTGAGCCGGCCCTCCAGGCTGTAAGTGAGCATTGCCGATCGATGAGCAATGTAGGCCGGCTCCAACCCCAACTCAGAGAGAAGGAACTCGGATCTGCGCTGCAGCATGTTCTTTGACCTCCTCAGCACAGACGGATCCTCAGCATCCGACCAGCCCAAGGTGCTCTTCAAGTACTTCACTTTGGCGGCAATCTTGTCCTCGCCGAGCAATTCGACATACAGCAGAATTTTCCTGAACATCACGGAGCCACGGGGCACACCAAGACCTTCGGCGAACGCCGCCGCCGCCTGTATTTGTTCCGCACTGGCGGTGAGCATCCTTGGCACAGTGGTACACACCTTGGCAATGTCGCAAGCACCTAGCGTGCACTCCTGCAGTAACGCCACATTTGCCTTGACCACCCTCTCGAGGCTGTGGGAGAGGAGACGGTTGTTACGCTTGAACGCTTGGAGGAACTTGTCGGAAGATCCGAAGAGGCGCAGGTAGTAGTGCACCTTGGAGACGACGGATTTGCAGCGGAAGGAGAGCGAGAGGAGGCGCGCGATCTCGGAATGCGGCAGACTGAGGCCGGTGAGCCCGGCTACGATGGGGGACAGGGTCCTCTCCACGCCGGCGCAGAGGAGCTGCGGGTCCCTGGCGACGGCAGCGGCGACGTCTGCGGTGGAGAGTCCGAGGCCGGCGAGGAAGGCGAGGACGGCGTCTGGCTTGGTGGGGGATCTGAGGTGGGAGAGCTTCGTGGAGGCCTTCAGCGCCTGTGCTCGGGTGAGGCCGCAGGTGTCAACCAGGTACTCCTCGACCGCGAAACCGGTGCGTGGGGGAATGGGGGGTGCGGCGGCCGAGAGGAGACGGCGGAGAGGGGAAGGGGATCGGTGGCAGGAGGTGGGGGAGGATAGAAGGTGGGCGAGGATGCAGCTTCGGAGGCGGAGCATGGCGCAGGCGAGGGCGTGGCGGCGCCGGCGGCGAGGGCAACGAGCGCCGCCGGTTGGTGCGAGAGACGCACGAAAGAGAGAAGAAGCCTAATAACTTGTGAGCGAAGTGGGCCTCGAAGCCCAACATCTGAGCGAAGCCAAGCCATTGTAGGCCGTTCTTCTTTGTCTCGAAAAAAATGTAGGCCGTTCTTTTTAAAAAAATTCGAAAACATATTTTTAAGCTTCAAAAAATTCTGGAAAAAAAATGCACATGAACATAGAGATGCATATTACATTCCTGTTAAATTTTGTGATGAAATAAGCTTAGGTGTGAGCGGCACAAGAAAAACAAAATTATGGGCTTTTATAGTGAATAGCATCTGTGCTAAAAATACATGATTTTGTCATTTTTGTGTATCTTTATCAAAACATATTTTTTCTAGGGGATACCAAAACGTATTTCATCGTGTAAATTTGCACTCTGGCTCGCTAATGCCTGTTGTAGCTCGAGCTACACGTAGCTCTTTTTTGAAAATAATAATCTAAAATCATATTTAAGAGTTCCAAAAAGTTTTGAAAATGACGCACACGAACCTAGGTATGTATACTACTCCCTCTGTCCCAAAAATGAAGTTAGGACAAAGTTGGGTCACTTATTTTGAGACAGAGGGAATACATCTCTTCAAATTGTATTTAAAGACAACTATTCACTTGAAAATAAGGTGGCCTTTCATGAGGGGGCCGATATTCAAACGAAAGCACTCGCGGAGAAATATTTGAGGCTACCTACTGCTTTGGGTAGGTCTACAGAGGACCAGTATGATGTTATAGTACCTAATACTATAAAGAAATTTGTCACTGGTCGGGATCACAAGCTTATGAATAGTGCGGCTAGAGAGGTTTTGATCAAGTCAATCTGTGAAGCTATTTCTACCTACCTATTCAATGAGCTGTTTTAAACTGTTAAAGAAAACATGCAAAAAGATTGCTAGCATTGTGGCTCGGTACTGGTGGGAGGAGATGAAATTAAAAGGAAGATGCATTGGAAGAAGTGGCAAGCTATAGGTATGCCCAGAGACGGAGGACGAAAAAAATGAAGGTGTGACGTACTCTTAAGTAAAAAAAATTATGCAAATGAAAAACCATAATAGTCATCCTGAAAACAAAAACATAATAGTCAATAGGCCAATAGCTCCTGTGCGACGTTTTTGAGGTGAATTGGCAAGGGTGCGACGTTGTTCGAGCGAATGGCTGTGGTGCGACACATTTGAGCGTATAAATAGCCCAGGGCCACATGGGGTGTTAAATGTGGTTAAATTGGTCGTCAACCAAGCCCGCCCGTTTATGTTAGGACATGTGGGTCCAACTTAATTGTTTCTCAAAACAGCTGACCGTGCCCTGCCGCCCGACCGTGCCGGGCCCGCCACTCTGCCCCCCTTCTTCTCCGGTGGCGGCGGATCTTGCGTTCTCGGTGGCGGCGGCGGAGCCCTCGTTCTCAACGGCAGAAAATGGTGAGTGAATTTAAACCCTAGTCGCCCTCCCGTTCCTCTCTCGGGCCCGTAGATCTTAGCTCGTTTCCTCTGTTTTTGCTTGCGGAATCGATAGGTTGTGAGGGGAGCCCGTGGAGAGATGGAGCCGCCAGATTCAACTTCGAATAGGTAATGCGCCTCTCTCTGATCCAATTTTGCATGCAATTAGGGGGTGGCCTCGTCTGCTCTTTCTCACGGGCTCACACTGTCCGCCACTGGAAGAGGGGATGCTGCCGCTCGGACCTTCGAATTGACAGTCAATTTCTTTCCATCAAAGGCAAAATTAGTTGATGGTAGCATACAGAATATTGAGAGAGACACAATTGTTAAATGGGAGGTTGAGTTTACAGAGATTGATCCACAAGTTCTACATAACATGGGAGAGACGGCAGTGAAGAAATGGGTGGAAAAAATTGGGGAGAATATCGTTTGGGGTCCAGAGCAAGAAGTATCACTGTTACGGTTTGATGATTGGAAAGGAGAGTATGTTAGAATAGAAGATGGTGAACAGATTGTTGAAGAAATTGATCGGCAAAACGGCTGGACAAGCAAACGGGCTAATTTTTTTGCTGAGCTCGTTGATCTGAACATTTTTTTGAAGGTTGGATATGTGCCATCACAATTGGCTGCGCAGATGGTAGATGATGATTGGGCTACACAGAGGCCATTGATTCCCATGTGTACTGAACTTACAGTAATAGCCGAAGAGGGATAGGTGAATGGAACTGAAACTGAAACTGGAGCAATTGTTGATTGGAATGTAGTTGAATTAGATGAGCCTACTGATTTGGTCATTGCACCAATGCCTCACATTGAGATGGTCAAACTTTTTGGCATTCCAGTCGATGACAGAGATAATCAGGAGAGGGGCGAATCTAGTTTGCCTGCTAATGCTGATGAAGAAGTAGATGGACAGTTGATGGAACAAGCTGCAGATGAAGTAGATGGTGCACATGATGATGAGCTGGTGCATGTGTATGACAAAGAGAACCCTGTCATTGAAGTAGGCAAGTTATTCCCAAGCATGAAGGAGTTTAGAATGTGTTTCAAGACTTATGCAGTGAAACATGAGTTTGATGCCAAGACTTTTTGGACTGATAGAAAGAAGTTCTATGCAAGGTGCAGAGGATTTGATGGTAGTGTGAAGCCTTGCAAGTGGTACATATCTGCTAGACTGCAACCTGATGGAAGTACTGTCAGGGTTAACCAAATCCCCAATCAACATACTTGTATTACAAGTTCACAGAGAGTATCAACCATGACATCATAACTTTGGGTTGCAGAAAAGATCACCCCGGTTTTAGCAAAAACACCAAACACTACTGCCAAGAAACTCAAAGTAGACTTGGAAAAGATGTACCCCATTAAACTGAAATATACCACAGTGTGGAAGGCAAAACAAAGGGCAATGAAAAATTTATATGGTGATTGGGCAAATACATTTAGGATGCTTTACAACTTCAAAGCAGAGGTGGAAAAGAGGTCACCTGCCAGTGTTGTGGAGATAGATACAGAGGTATCACCCGAAGGTGAAGTCAAGTTCTCCAAGTTTTTTATGGCTTTGAAGCCTTGCATCGATGGGTTCAAAGCAGGGTGCCGTCCATATTTGAGCATAGACTCATCATTTTTGACAGGCAAGTGGAATGGTCAGTTGGCAGCATGCAATGCTCTAGATGGACACAACTGGATGTTTCCTATTGCTGTTGGCTTGTTTCAGTTAGAAACAGAGGCTTCATGGACATGGTTCATGATCCAGTTGAAAAGATGCCTAGGACCAGTGTCACCTTTGGCTATACACAAAGATGCATGTAAGGGGCTTGAAAATTCAGTGAAAAATGTTTTCCCACATGCTGAGCAGAGGGAGTGACTCGGCCATTTGTGGATGAATTTGATCAAAAAATTTAGAGGAGAAGAATTTGGGCGCATGTGGCCAGCAGCAAGATCTTACACTAGACAGACACACAAATATCATCTTGATAAGATCATGGCAGCATGTGATGAGTTTGGTCCATGGCTGAACACCTACCATTCTTTGTTATGGTACAGGTCAGCATTCAACACTGCCATCAAGTGTGACCACATCAACAACAATTTGGCAGAGTTTCAACAACAAGGTGAAGGAGTTAAAAGATTTGCCTGTGCATGACATGGTTGACCAAATCAGGATCATGCTCATGCGGTTGTGGGAATTAAGAAGAAGGATAGGTGATTGTCTGCAAAGGTGATAAGCTTCCAGCAGTGCTACAACAGGTGGTCAATAAGAGCAGAAATCTTTCACATTTGTTTGTTGAAAAATCTTCACCTTGGGGTGCTGAAGTTAGAGATAACAAAACTGGAAGGAGACATGTTGTTAACACTGAATTGCATGATTGCACTTGCCTTGAGTGGCAACACGCTAGTAAACCATGTGAGCATGCCATTCTTTTCTTAGCATCCCAACCGAAGATAAACATGCACCCATATTTGCATGAATATTATTCGGTAGCAAGATTCAAAGCTGCATATGCTACTCCAATTCCACCACTTACAGATCAGTCTCAGTGGCCTGAAGTGGACATTGAATTTTACATGTGTCCTCCCTTGACGAAAAGAAAGGCTGGCAGGCCTAAACAGAGTAGATTCAAGGCATGGTTTGAGAAAAGTGGGAGTAGTAAGAAGGGAAAGAAAGATGGAAAGCCAAAAAGGGCACAGAAAGGTAACAAAAACGGATGCAAGTTGTGCCAGGAACTTGGGCACATAGTGGGATCTGTCAAATGCTGTTACACTCCTGATAAGCCAAAGTATGTTCTTGTTTATTTGTCTGTGTTTTGATTTGGTGCTTTTTTCCAGTTACTATATCTATAACATTTTCCCAATGGCCAGGAGGAAGCGAGCGAGTCAGCCCCTTGTTGTTGAACAGTGTTGGCCAACAAAAAAGCAAGAGTCAATGGCGGTAGAAAGAAGAGAAGTATGCCTGAGCCTGAGCAGACTGAAGAAAATCCTGCTGCAGTCAACATTCAGACTGAAGAAACTGATGTGGAGGTGCACACTGAAGAAACTGAAATTGCAGTCAACATTCAAACTGAAGAAACTGCTCTCGAGGTTGAAACTGAACCTGAGCGTGTTGAGGTTCAGACTGAAGAAACCCATGTTGAGGTTCAGACTGAAGAAACCCATGTTGAGGTACACATCGAAGAAACTGAAACTTCTGTCAACATTGAGACTGAAGACACTGATCACGAGGGTGTTGGCGAGGTGTTGAAAAGACCAGTGAAGAAAACCAAGATGATCAGTGAACTTGTGTGCGTAGTAGAACCAAAAACAAGAAGTGCTAAGGCGAAGAAGGGCACACGACGTGGTAGGAAGAGGTAGAACAGAGAACAGTTTGAAAATTTGGGGCATGTAATAATATTTGTAACTTGGTGCGTACTGGTAGTCACTATTCTATTCGTACTGGTAGAACGGAGAACAATTTGAAAATTTGGGGCATGTAATAATATTTGGTACCTTGTC